AAAAGGACCATAATAACCAAGATGAAACCCAAGCCACAATCCCATGGATGATGTAATATAATATTTGTATAATGATATTTTGAGCCATGTGCTGTCGTGTAACGTGCGTCACTTCAGGCAGTTTGAGTTCGCGGGATTGTGGGACACAGAAAGCTCCATATTGCAGTACCATTGTGGGTGCGCAGACACAGCACTTTCGTGTACCAGGACCAGAATTCAGTTTGGGGTTGTAAATAGATCGTTTGGCCCTAATTCCCCTAATTCAATGTCGTCCCCTTTGTAGTAATCCACAGGCAGAAGGGAAACGAAAGCCAGGAAACAGTGGATGACAGCCGCAAGCCGCAAACAGCTGTTTAGAGAAACGGTCACGAATTCAAACGGTCCCTAGCTCTGTGGTTGGACACTGCGAGCGCTACGATCAATACACGCTTCCTTTGATCCTGAAAAAGTAGCCTAATGTCGGTGCCACTTATCCTTTCCTTACCGCTAATGGCGAGATGCTGCTATGGCGGTTCCAAAAACAAGCAAGACGACATCCAGCGCCTGCGTACGGGCAGAGCGGACGGACTCTTTGTTTGGTGAGAACATCATTCAGCCACCGCGACAATTCAACTCCAAGGCCGGCAGTCGAGTCTGTGGAACGAGGCGCTTCAGTCGACTCCACCGGGTCTCATTTCCAATAATTTATATATATATATATATATATATATATATATATATATATATATATATATATATATATACACACACACACACAAGTGTGTGGAATGAGGCGGCTTCAAATTTATGCCGGTGCAGGCTTTTTATTTTGATGTTGCATGAACCACAAGTTCCTGTCTATCGCATTTTTTGGAAGGTTTCTTATGCCGTGAACCTTTGACAGTGTTCTAGCTGTGTCGACAAATCGCAGATGTGACCATCGTTTCCGCCACTGACAGGAAGCGAAACCATTACATCTTCAGGGGGGGGCGTACGGTTTCTTCGCTTAAAGAAAAATACGCTTAGTTTGAATAATGTGAGCTTCATTCTACATCTGCATTGTGTTTGACAGTGCCCTTGAGATTGTAGCAGTGGACACGCAGGCCTCAGCCGGGCCATTTGGAGCTATAAACACAGAGACAGTGTGGGCAGTACAAGTGTTGCCATGGTGACCAGAATATCTTGCTTATCTAGCTGCTCATGCCACCCGAAATACATCCCCGCTCCACACACACACACACACACACCATGAGCTTTCCCGCCATCTGACATCAGGATCAAACAAACACGGCAGACAACTGAATCCTGATCTCCAGCGAGCTTCTCCCTCCCTCCTCACCTGGCATTTACACTGCGACACAGCGCGGATTTCCCTTTATAGTGGCGTTTGTCTTCTACAGTGTCTATTCCGCTATCCTGAAATACCAACAGCAGGTTTTTGTTTTTTTGTTTGTTTTTTTAAATTGAAGTATATACGCCATGTTGCAATTATACTCTGTGTTGCTGCAAGGCAACGAAACCGTTAAGCTCCCGTATTAAAAACTATTTCACAAGGTTCTGGTAAAGGACGACTACCCACTGTTGTGTGTAGAAGCGGGATCTTAGGAAACCATTAGTGTAATTATGCAGAAGGTTGGTGGATAGTGATAACCCCGTCCTTGCACATGGGTCAATAGGAGGAAGACACTGCCTTTTTTTGTACACAATGTCGAGTTTCAACACGGTGCGGGAAACGAAAAACCCTGCAGGAGACCTGCATAAAGCTTTCACTGCTGTCCCACAGGCGGTCGTTTCGTTTCCGCCGCTCAAAACCGCAATTTTCTTTCTTTCCTGCAATTGCCCAAAACCATACACAGACAATGAAACTATGGGCGACGGGACGCACATTTTCACATGTTATCAGTTATTGGATCGTGACCAGGATATTCACACACACACACACACACACACACACACACACACACACATTTACTGATCAACGCTGTTTCATCATGTCCTCGGACGGAAGCTCCTTGTTTCCTAGAGACCAACGACCAACGTATACGTACGTAACCGACCCATTCAGTCTTGTTTGGTCTTGTTTTTTTTTTTTTAAGTGGACCGGCGCTCATTTTACAGATTCCATGTAGGCGGATGGCTTTCGACTGACCGCAACACGAAGACAAAGGGCTGCAACCTGACAACGCTCTCAATAAGAAGCAGGTTCCACGGCCAGAAATCAAAGACGCACTCGTGTCAGAGGTGCAACGTGGGAAAGTCCCATTCACTTCCACCGTAGACAAAGACTTGTGTGGGCTGGAAATCCACTGATCTGCTCATCAGTTCAAAATGATGACAAATCCATACGAGAGTAATGCTGCAGTTACATTCACGCGTTCTTTCCGTGTATCTTCACTGCTACGCAATCAAACGCGTCGGACAAGATAACGCGGATGAATGGGAAGAGGTTGAGAAAACAATAGCAAATGAAACCTGGCGTGCTATTGCTTGCATAACTTCCTTAACAGTCATCCAACAGCAGTAATGGTTCTTCAAACACACTCCCCCCTGAAAACCGTTTAGAAACAACTCAACCTACTTTAGAGGCAGTTTGATGGCCGCTAATCCTTTTCTACTGTACTTTAAATGCACGTTTGAGAGGCGCTGCAATGAATGAAATGCGAATTCGAATTGAGAACACATCGCCGCTTCGTGGGGTGGTGTGCACGCGCTCTACTGACAAAATGTCTTTAAAAAGAAGGAAAAGTGAGAAATAGTACGATTGTTTCAGAGAAAATTCGAACTGATTGGTTGCTCGACACGCACAGTTGAACGTGACACACCTATTAAAGCACGGCGCTCCCTCTCGTTTTAATTTGAAAACACACAGAGCTGCAGATAGAGCGGCCCTTATTCCAAAATAAACCCAATCCAACAGCGGTATTCTTGAACCAGCATGGCCGTTGTCTCAAACTAACCAGTGTGCCAGTTGGCTGCTGGTCCGTGCGCACTGTGTGACTCTTTTTGGAGGGAAAGAATGGCTCACCTCCCCCAATGGCCCATCATGAATAAATACTGCCACGGGAATATTTCGACAGCCCGACACAAGAGCTTTGCTGCACCAAAGGGCACACGAGGGCTTTCTCAGCGACGTGAGCGGGGGGATACATTTCTCTTGTGAACAGAGTCATGCGACTCTATAGTAACAAATCACCTTTTAATAACGCGATAGAAGGAGCTGGAGGGGGACCGAACGCAAGCGGTCGGGTGATTGAGTTATGAGGCTTTGTACAAGGTGGGCACAAGTTTCATCACAGATCCCCCAACTGGACGACAAGAGGCAGGCAGGCAACAACCTGGAGGCCCGAAACATGATCTGTTTATGCCCTCTAAGGATTCAGAACAAAAAAGGTAACCGGATCGACTTCTGGAACAGAATTAGAAGACAATATAAACGTTCAGAATCTCACTCTATAGAAATAGAAACAAACATAGGCAACTCCAGGGACAGAACTAGTAAAGATAATGAACGAGCAGGGAAATATGGTTGAGATCAACATTGGGAAGTTGAAAATGACGAAAATAGACGCTAAAATATAGCATCCCTACAGGCAGAACTCAGAAAGAGTGCATTAAAAAAAGGGACCATTTTTGTAGATGATCTAAGACTATAAAAACTGGACCTAAATGATAGCATGGTCGCGCTTTAATGTTCAGTCGCTAATCAATCCGTTGACTGTAGCATAAGAGTTCACCTTATGCTAAGCTACTTGGACACGACAATCAGGCAGGGAAAAGAAACGTGCTGGGATCATTTGGGATAAACACGGATGTCGAAAATATTAGGAGAAGCGGTGAAAAAAACATAATAGTCTTGCATTTGGTCACAACGTCAACGATGGATCGAAACAACGTCAACCGGACAACTATAATGGGATGTGGTTAAGTGGGTCGAGTTCAAATTGCTGATTCAAAATGTGACATGCCTATTACAGAATAATATAATAACAAAGACAAAAGCTTGAAATATTTCCCGGCCCATAAACACTGCCACATTTCTTTTTTTCCACATTAAATCCAATCGTGGCAACAGTTGTGTGATCTCAGTGGTGATGACCGTTGGTTTACAGTATCACGTGTCATCAACCGCGTCCATTAGCTTACTATTAACAAGAACAAAACTAGATATATCAAAGAGGTTCTCGTCAGTGCAAGTTCTTTGTCAAAAGGCCTCCTCGTGGTTTCAGTGGCCTCACAACATTGACGTTTGTTGTGAACATACAACAGTCACTAGGTCAAGGAGAAAATGGGGGCACCACTTTGGCTTTCACTATTTGGGCCATTTAGGCAGATTCAGATTGAAGACTGCTGCATGTTTTCATCTGAACCCTTCTTCTCACGTGCTGTGTGTAAATGCTGCATCCCATTATTCAAAGTACCGACGACAGCCGTGGCAACTAACCGGAAAATAAGACTTTTGTAGGTCACCGGGGTGTTTTATTAAGGGTTCTGTGAACATGTGAAAGCAACGTGTCCTGGAGCTGCCCATTTAAAACGGGGTTCTTTTGATGAACTGGTGCCTCTGTGGTGCTTTAAAGCAGCTACAGCTGATACAGTTTAACACTAGTTGTACAGTAAGATGAACCCCCCCATGTCTGCAGGCATACATACAAGTTATATATTATTCATTGTTTAGCTTGGACAAAATGAGTCAAATTGCACTTGCACAACAAAAAAAGTGTGGCGAGTGTTTTCTATTGTGATAGATGTAGGACACAGCTGAGCCTTCACTGTTTATTGAGAGTGTGTGAGAGAAGACGAAGAAGAAGAGATAATCAACACAGTATCAGGAAAGTACGTCGCTTTGAAGATCCAAGAGTAAAAAAAATGAAAAAGACACAAGCCGGAATTTCAACGCACGTGTGTACGCGACGCACCGGCAGCCTCCTAATCTACGCCATTATCACCGAATCCCGAATGTCATCAACCCCGCACGCGGCGTGCGCCGCGGCCCGGATACCACGCCGCTTCCGCGGGCTTACCTGTTTCTCCTTTTGTGTTTATTGTGAGAGTGAACTCGTGGTGTCCGCCGCCAACCTCTTCCACACGGAGAGCCTCCCCAAGAAAAAAAAAAAAAAAAAAAAAAACTTCAGCAAGACAGCGACGACTTTCCTCCCATTTCGCCTCTCGTCATATTTCAAGTTCCGACCGCCGCCGAGTGACTCACAGCCGACTCATGTGGGGTGTTGCTTAACAAAGCAAGTGGTCACTCGCACGCGCGCGCACGCACGCACCCACACGCACACGCCGAATGAGTTGGAATGAGCCCGTGTTGTGTGTGGCGGAGGCTGCGGGGGGAGAGTCGCTCGAAACAGGAAGAGGGAGAGAGAGAGAGCGCTAGACAGAGAGCAGAGAGAGAGAGAGACGGGTGGAGGCGACTGACCTTAAACCTGAGTATCGGAAACGCTGCTAAACCTGTAACTTAACGAATGTACCCACGCGTTATGTCGCGAGCCCCCCACTGCCCCGAAGTGACCACTTAACGTCAATTAGAAACGTCTTTCTTTAAGCCTCCACGCGCTAGTTGAGACGCGTCGTCACCGCGTGGCTACTGTACACGCGCTGTAGAATAAACGCGCACCACGTGCGTGTCTTTAGAAGAAAGGAAGACAAAATACACACTTGATTGTCCAGCGTGTACTTCGCTGCAGCACGCTATTCTCTCTCTCTCTCTCTCTCTCTTTCGCGTTGGGATTGTGTTGCTGTGTGTTGGTTTGAGTGTGTTGTTGCCACTGTGTTGCCTCTCTGGCCTCGGAGCCGCGCTTCCCCTCCCCCACACGCGCCACTATTTTCCGCCTGCCGGGTCGCACCGCGGTTGATTAATTCTCATTTCGCCCTGCTCGGTCATTCAGATTTGGAAAGTAAATAACAAGTTGACATCATTACGGCTCTACACTGGTGTGACACATTCCTTTGGTTACCGTACTCTTGGCAATATGTGCGCACCAACACAAAATCATAAAATAGAGGTAGAAAAACGATATTATAGATAAGGACGTATGTTTATTCGCTCTACTTTTTTCTGGCAATTGATATTTTTCAATAAAAAGTGTTGGCTAAATGTTATAAAGAAAGCACACTGGGTAAAGATTGGATTTCCGTATCCATATTTTTTTTCAGACCTTCAAACTGAGTATAAATTTGTTGAAGATTTTACAGATAACCAACTTAATAAAATATGATCCCTTTTATCTTTATCTTGTGCCACTGTCATGTAACTGGCTCTTATAATTATGCCTCCACTGGTCAGAGGTATATCAATGCACTACCCGTCTTTTGCTATGGGTTTGAGTTTATTGTTCCAGTTTTAACATACATTCTATTTTGTTATAAAGAAAGCCATGCTATTGGAGAAACTTATATATTGTAGTACAATGTGGCAAAATACATGATTCTGACTTTGAAAAGGCCTCTCTATGGAGACAACATCACCTATTTTAGGGCAGCAAAGTGCCTATTTGTGATTGACTCAAATGAACTCCAGTGTCCATGATCGTCGTAATGAGGGAACATTTTATGCACCCTGTGGCTCACTGTATTTTATTAGTTTATAGATATCAATGCATGTGGCAAAAAGCCAGGCGTCAGGCTTTGGGTGTACAGGTATTCCTGTAGGGACAACATTACAAAACACAGACTGTCCTTTCTTGCATGTAATTAAAAAAAACGTAATTCAATTTCTGGCTTTTTCCGTTGCAGGGCATTGTTATCATTCCAGACCAGTCCAGACCATCGAGGGTTGGCAGTTGCATTCAGTAATGTGTAATTATTACACTCTGATAAGGCACCGTTCACAGACGACATGCAGGTGTGAGTGAGTCTCTGATGTGCAAATGATTTGTAGGACTGGAAGACAGAATACAATCAGAGGTGTTGTATAGAGCAACATATTTAATGAGAGTAGATAACTGGACATATGAGCACCTGCAGAACTTGCAGGCTGCCAAATGTAGGGCTGTTTCAGAGCCCTTTCTCCATATTTTCATATAGATTGCAGGGAAGAAGAGACGCATCTAATAGAAAAACCTTTCTACATCACACCCTTTATTCAAATATGACCATCTGCTATTTGCAACATGCAGAATGTAGCACACTTTAATGTTCTTCCTCTGAATTTCTGGGCTCAAGGATGATTTTCCTCTCCACCCAACACTCAGCCCGTCATTTAGTAATAATAATAATAAGCAATTGCTACCTTTTTATGAGACGCTGAATGTAAAACCCTTTTTAAGTGATGCCATTGCTTCTGCAAATCCCTCCAAAGTGTTTTTAAGACCGTATGATAATTGTACTGTGATGCAGTACAGTGTATGGGTTGAAATCTAACTGGTGGAACTGTAAGATACTGATACATTCAAGGCTTAAAAATGATTGGATGTTGAAGAGGTCAACAGGAAGAGTGATCTCCAAACAAGTGGTATTGAATATATATGAAATTAAATTAGGCTTACAATACAAATAGCAGCTTAGTTTTATAGAGAAACACAACATTTTCAGTTTTTCTAAAGCAGGATTCACTTGAGGGCAATTTAATGTGATCGAATGGCATTTCTTGTCATTTGTTAATTATCTAAATGTGTGATTTGTTATTCTCTCTGTATAATGTTCTCAGTCTGTCATGGTTTCACTCTCTATTCAAAGTTCATAATAATATGGAGTTGGAGCTATGAAGATGTGAAAGCTATTTATCCATAGAAACACAGTCGGACAAACAGACAGTATTGTATTATGATGCTTGCTTATCGTACCACACAAATATAACGTTCATCGAAAATAAGATACCGGAATTCCTCACCGCTGCTCCCCCTCAGCCCCACGGAGCCCTCCGCTTTCTTCATAGCATGCTTCCATCCCGCGGGATTTCCACATTTCTACCCTGTCACACTGCTGCAAACTGCCTCAGGTTACAGTCTGAGAGAAGACATCATCTGCAAATAATAGAGTTTACCGAGCAGCTATGCAGCTAGTTTCCCCACAAGGAATATTGCCCCTTATATTTATTTTGATTTATTTAAATAACCAAATATATTTCTGCTTGTATTTTTCTGGCCCTCTCCAGCTGTATTCCCTTGAAATGTCACTACCTCTCCTCACACATACAGAAATAATATTGTGCTTATATCAACTGTACGCAGACATTTGAGACAGCCCCAATATAAACAGAGACCAGGCCTACAATTGGTTCACTTGTATTTCTTTCAGTTACATCAGCCTCAAATATAACACTGAGCCTCAGCAGAGAGCTATGTGACTCCTGCTCGCCTGGTCTTTATGGCATGGATGCTCCCTCGCTGTATTCCGCCCCTCCTGCACGTCTATTCCATGCTGTACGGTACGCACGCTTCCTGCCATGGAGCTGGGTCTGACCTCCTAACAAAGAACAGGTTCAATCTGCCTCCCCTCCCCCACCCCGGGAAGCTGATGAGGGTCACATGACCTTTCTAGACAGCACTGAGGAGCAATGGTAATACGTACGGGTGGGGGAAGGGCGATGCTCGTGACGTGACTCTTGTCGTGCCGTTATTAGGCCGGGGACGCGCTTCGCAAGGCGCAGTTTGTAGCGGGGGAATATCCAGTGTGGTATCTATTCCTCATTGTGCTCTGGTGTCCATTGACATATTGGATTTAGTTCCCTAAGTCCCGCTGCTTTATTTACACTGTGAAGAGAATGGGCGCATTGGGGCCGGGCTGCCTGGAAGAAAAGGCTTCTCTATTTGTGTCTGAGTGTGTCGGTGCGCATATGAGCCATTAGAAAGGAAAAGGTGAGCCTTGTGTAGGCCCTCTCTCAATGCACGACACCAGGCCTGCTGTCTCCCCCCCCCCCCGCAGCCATCCACCCCGGCTGGAGGAGGCTTTCCGTGGTACACTGTTATGTCACAGCCTGCAGACCTATTTTCCAGACAAAGCGCAAAGCAGATTGGAAGAAAAGGAGATCCCTATTTCCCTGTGGTAATGCGTTGGCTTTGCGCTAGCATTGAAAAGCAGTTGTACACTCAACCCGCAGAGCTCCAATGAGACTGTACAGAACCCAAGCTGGTAAAAGAAATGCTGTTTGCATATACTTTTAAGAGCTTGAGAACGTCACTTTATGAAGCCGCTTCTCCTCCACCATGAAATTCCTTGGACAGAAGAGGGGGATGGGGATGGAAGGCGGGAAAAGCAGACAGATGTCAGAGGTTCAGGGGTCGAGGACAAAGGTCGAGGGCTGGTGACCTGGGCATCCAACAGACTCGCCTTCCCTTTCCTCCCCCTCCGGCACAATGGAAGCCATTGACTTTTACAATGCTTTTTCCCTTCCTTTTACAGTGGCATTTACATCTTTGAGTGACAGTTTTCAAATTACCACTCAAGCTGTAAATCCGAAGCTACATTTTCTGCAGTTTATCAAAATTCTTTCGTCTTATATTTACAAAAAATTGGATTTGGGTTTTTCTGACTAATCTTCCTGGGAAACCAAGAGTTCTTTACATTTTGGGTAAAACGTTCTGCTGACAGATAAGAAAAAGAGTGATACCACCATTGTCAGATATACTGGTCTAAATCCTCTCATCTAACTCCCGGAAGTGAATAAGCATATTTTCTACAATGGAGCCCATATGTCGCAATTTTGATATCTTCGCATTATGGAAAATATTCCTGCGAGGAATGTACACAATCTATTCATTTGTTCATTTAGATGGCACACAGCTAAATATGACTTATACATTACTGAAGACCACTGTTATATATTTGACTGTATTTCAAATTTGTGATGTGTCACACCAATGTGTCCAGCTTTGTACGGTGCACGTTCAAAGGTTAACTCAAATACTTCCCTCCCTAAAACAAGTTCTTATCACATTACCTGTTTAACTGACACTTGGTCCTTTCCTTTGTTTTTCTAAGTTACTGGAACTTAGTGTTGCGTTACCTCGAAATATCTCTCTCGAAACCAGGCTAGTGAGCTTTGCCAAAAGTACAGGGCGGGGTTAACTTTGGGTTCACGACCCGAGGGCGTTATTAAACATTCCTGCCGTATGATTTCTGTGCCAGGAGAATCTCACAGGAGCCGCGATCTCCCCGTGACGCTGTATTTGTCAGCTCACAGGATGGGCCTGTCTGCTGTGAACTGGAATCACAGATTTCAGCCTCCTGCTTTGTCACCGCACCATAATGCCCCGTAATGGGCCTCCGCTCGGCGAGACGCCCCCCCCCCCGCCACCACATCGTGACATGTCACTCTGCACAATCGCCCTCCTGACCTGCAGGTTCGGGGTCATTTGAACAAGGTTGCCACGGGTGCTCACTGTTCCCTTGCTGGATGTAGGTGACGACGACAACGAGAAGCACACACGGATTTACACGTGGCTGAGAGCGAGGGGGTTGTGTAACACGCAGGAAAGGAACAAACTGTGTTATCGCACATCAAGATAAAAGTCATTCATATGCAGATGTCAAGTTCCTCGTGATCTGTATGATTAAGTAATCATAAAATGAGCCTTATCATCTGTTAACGTTGCAAATTTGGTTATAAAACATGAAGAATTCCTGGTGTGCAAATTAGTCCATGTGAATCCTCTTGAATGTGTTATTCCGGCGACGCACGCGCGACAGACACAGAGAAAGAGGGATTACATCGCATCTCGAAATGTGTCCTATTTTCCTCCATCTCTGAAAAGTGTTTGCCTCAGACTAGAACAAAATCCCCCTGATAAATTTCCCATTGTGGGGTATTAATGCTGGATCATCTCCTGGAAAATACTGTGAGAAAGAGAGAGAGAGAGAAAGAGAGAGAAGAAGGGAGAGGGGGGAGAGAAGAGAGAGAGAGGTAGGGAGAGGTGACAGCGTGCTTGTCTCTACCTAAAACATGTCCGGGCACACATTGCCATCTAGTGGTTCAAAATGGTACAAAATAAGTATCGAGATCCCACTTTTGTCTTTATACTGTGAATAAACGAATTTAAAGCTGCGCTGTTCCACGACGGCCACCTCCTTGTCTCCTCTTCCTCCGTCTATTAATTTCATCCAATCTGAAACCGACCAATCAGCGCACTGGGTAAAAACGTGCCTTTACGGTCAACTGGCCTGCTAACAACCCCCTGGGGATCCTCAGCTGTCATTCAGCTGAAACCCAAATGTGACCGAGGCTCTAAGTGGGTGGTTTATACGTGAGTAACAGCTTGCACTGGACCATCGCCCTGCAGCCTGGCACAAAGCGGCATTGTTGTTTTTTTTTGTCGTGGTGAAACAAGGAAAGTGTTTCATGTAGGCGTCTATTTAGAAGTCCAAGTAGGTTTTTCCAACCTCATATGCAAAATAAATATTTTCACAGGAAATGTTAGAAAATCTTCTGAACGCACTAAATGGGAATACTCTTGAAAATGATAGATGGACAAAAAGTGACTGTGGGGAGATATTTTCCACCTTCTATATTTTATTAGTTTTAAAACATAGCCAACCCATTCACGGTTCACCTGAAAGGATGGCAGTGCACAGCATCTCAAGCATAAAGACATAACTTAAAATGCTAATCATCGGATTACACAAAGAACATCTCGATCCAAATGATGCGGCATACTGTAAATCCACGTTGGTGCCTGTGCTCTGCAAGAGATGCGCACAGCATTCCTCATAAAATGATTCCCCCTACGGCCTAATTATCAATTCTGAAATAAAATATTCTCCTGCTGGAATTTAATAATTAACACGCTTGCATTGCAAATGAACTTGCTCTAGGCTATTGCAAATAAACATGTCAGGAATATGACAGGCATTTGACTGATGCTGACTGAACGTTTCTGATATACTGCAGACATTTCAAACCACGACGTGGTCTTTGATCTGGTAAAAGGAACCGAGGAGGATCAATAGATGAAATGCATTTTTAAAATGGATTTTCTGTGTGTGTGTTTCTATGCGTTTGCCACTTCAAGAAGAGCTATTTCTTAACTTGGCGTGTGATGAAAGGTGTTTAGTCTACTGTCTCGTGAGAACGGACTTCACTGAGTTCAGTGTTTTCTGCATCTCTACCAGGTGGATGGTGCTGTCTGTTGCAATGATGTCATCGTCGTGGCTTGCTCCATAGCTTATGTATTTCATTTAGCATTGGCTGCTCAATTGCCTGAAGACATTTTCTTGGTATTATTATTACTCTGGAAAATTGGATAGGTGTTAAATCATATCGTTTGCAGATTAGGCAACGATAATGTTGGGTGTGGTGGATTTATTAACCCACGGGTTTGGCTGTCATCAAATGGGAGATCTTTGAACTGCCTGTCTCATCTATTAGCGGGTGTCAACCTGTTCTGCAGCAGGTGAATCCAAACTATCAAGCTAATACATGCACACGACTTTACTAACATCAACATGTACGGGTTTATTCTGGGAGCCCCTTCTTAGCATGCTGCTTTGTCTATAATTAAAACAGAGGATGATGTTTTTTCCAGATTAAAATGCATTTCGGAAATGCACAAAAGGATAATTAATTTCATCAATATCATTACTGCACCCCCAGTTCAAAATACTTCTGTGTTAAAATACTCGCTCCATCTGAGCTTTATTTCCTTCTCTTTTGTTTGCCAGTGGTCACAACAAAAGCTGCTCGTCTCCACTGATCCGGGTGGCCTCTCATCAAAGGTGCGGCCTGTGAGCCCACCTGCAACTTTAAGCATCAAAGATGCTCAAGTGTTTGATCACCATTCGCCATCTTCCTCGGCAGCATGCTGGCTGGCTGAAAAGAGATACTGCTGTGTTCTCTTTTAAGATGCCCTTTGTGAGATCATGTGACAGAAACCCTCATTTTCACAGCTGAGGTCCTGCAGCCTGTCCATTGCCACACCAGCATATCAAGTCGCCCCTCAGAGAAGCCCACAGAACAGGTAGGGAGGAGGCCGCGGTGTAACAATGCGGGCTCTCCAAGACATTTGAGGAATAATATGTCGGTTTGTGGTTAGCAATGAACCTGGTGGCCGCATATTGTCTCTGTTAAACTGACGTTATTAATATTTTATGAAAATGGGCATATTGAGTCTGAATATTGGGTGGGTTAGGGTTACTCAAATTTTGAATTCTAAAATGCTGAATTGAGCAACTGGCCCGTGCTCGAATATGAATTTAACTGTCAGGCGAGACCCCCTCTAGTCAACTTTACGGTCTGAGTTCACAATCGGTGAAGGCTTTTGCCAGTCAAAGCATGGCGTCGGAGGGGTTCGTGTCCCACAGGCTGCAGGAGACATCAGGACCGCACACAGACAGTGTGTTTCCTTCACTGCGCACTATAAAACCCCTCACCACACATGGATGTAATAAGCCAACAAATTAAGCCATTACACTGTTTTTAAGGTACACAGACATCCGCGTTTAAATGTTTTAAGAGTGGCAAGGGATCCCTCACCCCGAGTAACACTGTGTGTCTGAGACCACCTGGGAAATGATCGCACATCCATCCCATCGTGAGAGGGCCGGGGGATGATTCGTATGATGAATAGCCGTCCCTTTGCAAAGCCATGACGGGCCGGCGCTCATTACAGCGGCCTGGTTACTCCCACCGAGCAGCGCGAGCGCTTCACGGACGACGTACAGGAATTTTGCGTCCGATGGGACTTTTCGAGTCCGCCGTCATGGAGACAGTTTCCGCGGTTCAGGACGCGCTAATGTGGGCATATCACAGCTCCAGCGCATGAGGCATGGGTCAAACCGTTTGGCACAACGTGCAATCGGCCCGCGGCAAGATGGCGACCGAAGCCAAACCTAATGATGGCGTGTAAGTGTGTGTTCACTCCCACTCTGCACCGGGTTTAAGAGCAACACCTATAAAACTTCATTATGCTGCTGCTGTAATGGGGTTCAGGGAAGTACTCCATGAGCTGACAAAAGCAGGAGTGTCTTGTAAACCCTCGAGGGGAACTTTCTAATTAAATACTCACTGTTTAACTGCAATAAATAGCGAGGATTTCAGGGTTTTCCTACATGTCATATTTTCTCCATACCACAGGGCAGAAGTTGGGAGTCCAGCTTGAGGAATGTAGTCATGATGGTTTTAATAGTTTTCCGAGTAGATTTGTTTTTCCAAGCTACTGTTAAACTAGGAGGTGAGAGCTAATGGGAGAGGGCTTCCCTGGGATGTTGGAAAGCTCCACCGAGGCCATATGCGAGGGTTTGATATGGAAAACCTGGCTTCTCCTCATTTGGGATGAGGTGTGTCGTCAGTAGTTGGTGGTGGGGCTAACCCTCCTGCCTGGAACGCAGGTGTTAACCTGCTTTCCGTGGTGCGTGACGTGTGCATTTGGTTTGTCGGGGCATTTCTGTGACGTCGGGATTTGGTACACCGCCATGAAATGGATTCGTAAATGCAAAGGAAGGATGGACACAACCAAATAGGAGAAACTAGTTCATAAATATGCCGGGCACAATGCATTAACTCATGTGTTTTCCATGTTCCTTGGCTTGAACGTCAAATTCTAGAAATAAGTGATGTCCGTCATTTATTCTCAGCTAATATTTGTAAAGTCAAGGGGGGCACTCGAGGCAGCCCTCCAAAGTTTGAAAGAAAGAACAGCGATGATATCATCGGGGTTAGCTCAGATTGGATTTGAGACTTTAATGTCATGTCACAAAGTCGGTGTTGCCAACTGGACTTATGCAGTGGGCAATTAAGAGGCTCTATAAACAAATGAGTTATACTAGATGCATAATGGAAAAGAAATGACTAAACGTCAGGATGTCTGAGGCCTCTGCTGGTTCCTTATCGACCATTCTCCCTTTAATCTGTCCCCTGTGAACCCCCTAACTTTATGGATGCAACAGGACATTGCCGCAGGACATTGCTGCGGTACCTTTGCAATGTGTGATGAACCAGAATATCACAAGCGTATATGACCATCTCCCCAAAAAAGAAAACACTGTAGATCAGTCGTACGAATGGTGCATGGTTCTGGGCTGAGCTTTGGAAATAAAGAAACGAATCACCGCGTGGCTCCTTTCACCCCGAACTGTATTACACATCACTACTATAGATCACGATTCCCCTTACTCGCCTCCTCGCGGGCGCAGCTCGCCGAACAGCCCGCCCGCGGCGTGCCACAGCGTGCGCAGTTTGCGCAGGTTCCATGCGGCACTCTACCTGCTCCGACGCTCCCCGTGTCTGTCACTCACCGCGAGCTCCTCCAATCGCAGTGGCGCATGGGCCCCCGTGACTCCGCCCCGGCGCATAATTGAAGTTTCTTTAGTTTCTCCGGGCGCAGCCTGCGCGCAGTGTTGCACGATCCGTGGAGGGATTAAAAGCCACAACCGCTGGGGACCATGTTTTCCAGGAGCCTGACCGTGTGCGCGACCCTGTGTTTGTGGATTACAGCGTTGACGAGCGGCGCCGGGAGCGCGTCCGGGAGGAAGCAGGACGAGTCTTTCTTCACCAGCAGCGTTTACCGAGCGAGATGCGCTTCGAGGTGCCTCAGTCTGCACATCACTCGCATCTCCGCCTTTTTCAAGCACTCTCAGGTACGAAGCATGCGGGTCAGAGAGGAGCGAGCACTTGGTTGTCGTTGAATGCGAGGGTCGTTTTGGGATGAATGAGCCGTTTCTCTCGAGCCTATCGCGAGGAGACGCAGCAGGTCACTCACTCACTGCTGAAATGTACTTTCACGCACTTGTGTTTTCTGCCCCTGGTAAGTTATCTTAAAACCAGACACCTCTGAACTACACATGTCACCAAAATAAAATAAAGAAATAAAAGCACATGTTGCAGATTTTTTTTTTAAAAAGCGCATGGAGGTTTGAGTGTGTGCGCGTAAAGTTTCCGCGCCTTGGCCACATCCATCTAATGGACACATCGCAGTGTTGAGACTGAGGGATGATGATCGCTGGAGACAGTTTGCATCCATTGCTCGCCAATCATCACCGGGGGAATCGGACACCCGTCTCCGTCAGTGCGACAGCGATGGAGCGCAGCTGCCGTTATGCCTCCGTTTACTTTCTCTGTTTGCGTGAGATGGAACACTGCTCTGGTGTGTATGTGACACTCGTGTCCTGCACGCACGAGCCCGTTGTGATGCAGGAAACTCCCAGAAACGAGCCGTTTGGTGCATGGTGTCAGAAGTTGTTCTCCACCAGGACACCAGATAACAAAAAACAACCCCCCCCCAAAAAAGACTTGATCCTTCACAGCTCTTTTTCACCAGCTACCTTTTTATTCTCACCTCATAGGCTGGTCTTTCCCAGGGTGCTTTAATGAATGCTTAATCGTCACGGATCATTGTGGAGGTAGATTCGTCATAGTCTCTAATTAATCCACAGAGTGCATTGCTTGTTTCTTCGTCTCCAATTAACGTTACTTTGTAAGTGCTTATTGATCTGGTTTGGTGATTAATGCATGTCCGCGGGGCACAGAGGCCCACTGTGGTTAATTCTAGCAGTTTTATTAGGGGGAGGGATCCATCTGACTGCTTTTGCTCGGACAGAAAACAGCAGTGGCGTGCATCCACTGGACACAGATTGAAAGCAGTGTTTCCTAATTCACTACTTGGCAAGCAGCGTCGAGGACTTGTTTTGGGAAAGTCTGTTGATTCTCTGCTTTGCGGAGCTGGGTGATTCATTTAGTCACCGGATGACTGAGAAGTCAAATAACTGATGGAAGTCTCACCTCTAATCAACCACTAACAGTGTGTATAATTGACTGCAGGGCCTCCCTGTCTGAGGCAGCTTTTTCTGTTAGGCGAAAATGAGAGGCAGATATTTGTCTATCGAGAGAAACATATTTGTGGTCAGTGATAAGCTCCCTTGAGCAATGTTTGAAGGCCTACGAATGGAATGCAATTGTTGATGATCTGCGAGGACTGTCTCATGCGCGAGGTCCCCAACAGTCCTTTCATGTGAAAATGGGGGGTCTGGTCAGCTGCAACAACATACCCCCCCCACCTTCACCCACCCTGGCCCTGCCAATAAATGCCAGCGTCACACTTGTGGAGGATTCACAACCGAGCCCGCCGATGGCCGAGGTCACCTTTGGTGCTAAACGCTGGCGCCCAACTGCGCTCAATGTGGTCATCTCTCATCATCGCTAATGTAGTGTTGCCGTAACACTGCAGCACGCTCAGTCAGCACAACCTACAGGTGGATCTGCCCCCCCCCCACCCCCCCTCCGCCAGATCTCCTTACAGCAACGGGCCGGCAGGCAGCACCTCGGAGCCCCACCGCGGTGATGGAGACGGCAGACCTCCTAATTCAACTCGGACATCCTTCAGGGGTCATTCGATATACTCGCAAACCAAGACACTCAACACTTTCCATTCCAGTGGAAATAAAATGCCTGGCTGCGTGTCAAAGCGGTGACTTTGGCATAATGTTTCATAACATTAATCTTACCAGTAATATGGACCACTACCTATTTTGGTCAGGGTACAGGAGCAACAATTGGTCTACTTAACACATTTAGCCGCTGGAATTCTGAACTCTTGTTTTTCATATCAGATTTTATGTGATCATTCTGTGAATACTGGAATGATACTCGGAGAATTTAGCACTTGCAGATGTGATGAACACCCACGTGTCTTCTTTTTTTCTTTTCTTTTCTTTGTGTGGCTGAATTGAGAGAACGAATCCGAGACTTTTAATTATGAACTAGTGTGAAATGGAAACAAGCGCGGTGTCGCAGAGTTGGGGAACAAACACCGGCTGTCCGTTGGTTGTCAGATTTATAGCAAGTGTGGATTTATTGCTCTAATACTGTTTCCAAATACAGATTTATTGACATTTTACTCCGTATTTGGGGAACCTGTCAACCTGGTACAATAGACAGAGGGGAACACCCAACCATAAATATGATCCTCGGACACTTTAAAATATTAAGAGCGCGCTGGGAGCCCTGTGCAATAATGTATTCTGAAAGCATCAGCCTCATGGTGGATTATTTATGTGGGGACCTTTTGTAGCCAAAAACAAGGTGTGTCCATGAAGTCTTGTTATTACACTCCAAGCAATAAAAACATTTTAAATTCAGCCATTCATTTCGAATGCGGCGCACCGTTAAGTCTAAGCATCTTGTTTGAGAGATTTGTGTCTTCGGCGAAGAAAAGAAAAAACATTGGAAAGCACTTTTTCCGTGTCCCCTCGCTTACGGCTCCGATATTAAATAACACGCGGTGGAATCAAACCTCCGCCAGTGCTTGTCTCATGTGTGGAGTTTTTCATTAGTGAAGACAGTGGATGAATAGAGGACTATGTAGCTTGGCGTCACCTCTCTGTAAACGCTTTTAAAGCATGACAGTCCTGTCTGTAAATCTCAGCCTGCAGTGCCGCTACACCCTGAGCTACCTCATTTGACAAATAGCCTTCATTCCTAGGTGGAGACAACTTTGCCCCAGTGTTGTTTGAGATCTCTGAAAGCCCCTTTCATGTTGACATTAGATGGGCGCTGGACACATTAGCTCACTTTCAGAGCTGTCAAATAATTCAGTTAAAGTGAATAATTGATGGACAGAGCGTCCGCGGCGCTCACACCCACTCAAGTCAAAGCCTAAATCTTCAGGCCCCTTTATTTTAGTGCTGCATATGTGCCCTTAAGGATCAGTTATTTTGGGGTTCGCCTCAGGCCGTCAAAGGACACGCAGAGACAGAGGCCGTCCTTTTGAAGTCCCCGTCTCCTGTTAACTTGACCGGAAAATGTACAAGTTCTCAGTAGTACTCAGTAGTAGCTTATTCATCATTGCTGGAAAAGGTACCGGCGTGATAGGATGGAACTGGAGCACAATCCTTAAGTGTAACCTGAGATCCGTCCCATTTAAATCCGAGGCTCACGGGAGACAAAAGACTTCCATGTTCAAAAGGTGTAACACTACCCTCAAAGATAAAAGCGTTTTTTTGCTCCACGTTCGTCTAGACCATAGGACACGCCTCCCCCGCCCCCCCGGCCACCTGCTCGGCCTGACATGGGCCGCGATGCGTCTCTGTGTTTACACGACTCCGCTGGTGTCGCCGACAAAGCAGCGCGGCTCACCTTAGGCTCCGCGTTCTCCTCGACCCCCAACGCACGGGAGGATGTCTGGGAAGCATTCGTTCACTCGAGTCCTTGACAGTCCTCGGCACTGCATAATGTTCCGACTGCAGAGGAATGTCATGGTGAGTCAGAGGGATGAAGTCCTGACCTATAATTATTCCCCCGTTGGTCCCTGACACGGTGGGGTCAGGTCTGGACAGCTGGGGCAACATCCTGCTGAGCTTCTCTGGTGGAGGGATGCTGTCACGCAGCAAAATTAGCTCCTCCGTGGATCTGGCGGTGTCGCCGGTGATGTATGGGGTAAGGAAGGTGTCAAACAAACGGATTGATGATTTAGAACGCGGTCTGGAGTTGTGACAAACTATCTGAACTATCCAAATGCCAAGGTTTTATTTACGGGTTTTGGCAGGGTTTGTTTAATCTTCTTTTTTTTTTTACAAAGTTTGAATTGTGCGATGTAGCACAAAATGCTGAATTAGTGAGGAATAATTCCGATTTTAGTCAACATTCGGCCGGATTGAGCGAAGGTGCTCCAGTACATAGAAAAGAACCTGCTGATGGACTCCTCTGCCAACTTACTGCTCATTTCCACTCCATTCGGTACAAAAATGAACCCGCTATTCCTGGTGTCCTTGGTGCCCAGGCTCGTATTTCTCATCCTTATCAGCAGTTGTTCTTGCAGAGATTCTCCTAAGACATTACTATACAATCACAGATTCCTTTGAAGCCATTTGACCATTACCCTTGACACTGAAAGAACAGCACTTACTGGTACTGGATGTCAAATTAAACCCTTTAATGATAAGTTCTCTCTCAAGGTCTCATGGGAAATTTCCTCTGGATTACATTGTGGGAAAAGGCTTTGAACTTGACATTGAACTGAAGCAGACTTTTGCACTCAGACCCCGAAAGTTTAGCCGTAACCTCCTGCTAGATCGCTCTTATAGCGGCAGGCAGCGCACATCCCAAACTGAAGCTCAAGCGTATGTCATTTACTAGAATTTATTTATTTTGTGAAACTCAACTCAGAGGCTCTGTTGAGAATTTTTTAAATCTGATTATTATAAATTGACTGGAAAACAGGTAACAGGTGGCAAAAGAAGAAAAAAAACGCTAATTTAAGCTAAACGTCAACCTTTCTGATGCACATCACATCCTTCCATTCTGTCTCTTTAATGTTGACCAACTGGTCATTTATTCCAAAGCACCAGCCTTGCACTTGCCATCCAAGCGCAATTATGTTTGCAGAGGATGACAGCATAATTCCTCGCCCTAATGGAATTCAGGAAATGACCACTTGAACAAGCCGCTCACCCCCACCGGTCCTTTGCTCGACAACTCCCCGCATTCACACATCGGGGATTTAAAAATACACAGCGCTATTAGCGCCAAATGTTTGCCTTGCTGACACGCAGAAGGTGGCACTTCCACGGCAATTAGAGGAAATTGGCAGTATCTGCAGTCTACACAAGAGTGCTGACATCACTTCTCGCCTCCGTGACCTCGGGGACGTCTGTTGAGAGATCAAACGGACCCTCAGAGGGGCTGAGGTCACCGGGCTCTGCTGAAACTGACCAGAGGTTTGTCCCCCCCCGGCCCCCTTTCCTGCTTAGGTTACATGCCACTCAGCCTCAGACGCTTTGAAATGTCTCTGCTGTTTTTACCTTCTGGGTACTCGACTGTTAATGTGATAGTAAAATGCCACACAGTCATCTCATGACTTGATAGTTGAGTGGATTGACTGATGATATTTTTCCTTCTTTTTCACAGAATAATGGATCCTTGGTTTGGTGCCAGAATCACAAGCAGTGCTCCAAGGTAGAACGGTTTTCCTTCTTTCACAAGCGAGACACATGCCACATACAGCGCATGCCCCATTATCACATGATAATACAACATAAAGTGTGCGCGAGTCCAGACATGACTGGTTTTGTCGTGCCAGCAGAATCACTTTGAGAGCGGTTGACAAAGACTGTCAGAATGTGAAAAACTCTTTTCTTTACAGCTAGATCTCACTTCTGCTTACATTGTGCTTCTACTCATTTCCCCTGGTAATGGATTTAAATAAAATAAAAATGCACGTTGAATTGCTTTGGCCAACTACGATTATGCTTTTATTTCTTCATATGTTTTTTATGATTATGTTTGTTAAGCCCCTCGCGTCGTCGTATTCATTACGCTGCACCTCCTGCAGGGCTTGTTTGTGTTTCGTGCCCTGTCCCAAGGAGGGTTGATACAAAGCTGGTGCTGACAGCTTCTCTGAAAAGATGGTGCTGAAATGTTCTATCAGAGGCCGCCGTGGCCCTGGGAGATGCGCTCTATGGAGCCGAGACAAGGAGGATGATATGCTAGCCGGGTAGAAATCGCAACAGTGCTCCCGGTAGCTGTCAGAGGTTCTCATCTTCTCACACACACACACACACACACACACACACACACACACACACACACACACACACACACACACACACACACCAAAGAAACAAGGATTCCATGCTGTTGGCCCACGAGGACTCAAAGTAGGTCATAGTCAACATACATACATTGTCTAAATGAAAAACAAGTGGAGGGAGGTCATGACAAGTTAGATTTTATTCACAAAGTCCGCAGACCTTAGCTTACTTATAGAGGAATGCATGCTGGGAATTTGGGAAAATTACCTTATTCCTGTGATGGTGATTAATTGGATTTTCTTTTTTTCGGTCCGTGCTTACTTTACACGGCCTCCCATTTGGTGTAGATATTAATCACAATCAGTGTCTCATATCAACTGCCTTACAAAATGACCAATGGTGTTTGATTTCTAAATTCCTCGTTTCAATTTCAAATTGTTTCCTTGGCTATTTGCATCTTCCTGGGACACAGCAGAGCCATTGTTCTTTGTGCTTCCTTCTACATCTGCAAATGTATGGGCTTCTTCCTCAACTCAACAGCTGTTTACAACATTATCACGTCCCCGAATGAGTCCTAACGTGAGTAAATAGCTGTTGTTATATCCTGTTTCTTTTTTTATTATGAAGTTCTGTCATTGTACCCTTGTGTGGTAATTTAAGAATCTCGAGGCGTGAACTTAAGTTTGTCCCTGGAAAAACAAAATGTGTGATGAAGAATATATCCCTTTATATTACATCATAAAACCTTCTGTGACAAGTCGATGTAAAGGCGAGCCTCCATTGTGTTCGCCATGATGCGGTGAAACTTGTTCCTCTCCTTTCCACTGTGATGGCCAACATCGCCTCTTGGCACCATTCGTTCCCCAGTCGTTCGGCAGAGTTTTATGTTCGAAAAAGTCTTTTTTTTTTTTTCTGGCTGTGAGTCCGAGCACAGCATACTGTTTTCATAATCAACCAGCGAACACTGCTGACACTGCAAACGTCCCAAAAAACTCTTTATAGACTTCTTGTTCTCCTTGCCTTTAACAAGCATGTCAGTTAGCACTTCTTCATCCCACCGGTAAATAAATGAGGCCCGGATTTGATGTAAGCTCTTAAAAAATAATGACATGCTTGTGTTACCGCTGCACCAATGTGGTGCTCGGCCGCACCGTCGTCGTCTTAAATGGTTTCAAGGGCTCTCTGAATTTAATCAGTTTAATTGTATCCTGGGTTTTAGGTTCAGCCGTTCAGGATGCAGGCCGGGGGCACGGTGGTGAAGCTTAATTTGTGGCCAAAAGTCAATATTTTGGTAGCAAACACAACCGCACTTTGCATCCACATCAATGGCTCGAGTGCACACCCGGGGGGCCCCGTGTCGAAAACACTGAGCCATTGTGGCCGCTCTTAACAATCGCTCCAAACGGGCGCAGCGCTGTACAGTGGTTCCCCCGTGAATAGCTCTGCAGCCGCTGATTAGCCTCTTCACTTCATGAACAGCTCACAGTCAAACAGAGAGACAAAGGCGGTGGCTCCCGGGGAGTGCGTTAGGGCAGGAGGGCCGTCCACCCGGAGCTCTGATAAAGGGCCTCACGGGGCTCCTCGCCTGTGAGGAAAATGTGCGGAAGGGCTGCCTAATATTTTTGACAAAGATGCGGTGACCCCCCCCCCCCCCCCACCCCGCCCCCACTCCCCCCTCCTCTGTCTGTCTGCGTTTAAAGGGAAAAAAAAAAAAAAAGCCTCCCGCTTCCATTTGTGAAGACAAAGTCATCGCGGTCATCTCGTATGCGGCGTCCAGAGCCGCCGCCCCCCACCCCCCTGCTCTCAGAGTCCCCATTGTCATGGTGATTAACCTACTTGCCCCCTTCTCCACAGCGGAGCGAGGTGGCATTTGGAGAGCCAGGGAGTCATTATCATGCCACAGCGTTGGGCCAGCAGACAAACTCCATTCAGCGGGGCGACGCCAGGAGAATCTTCCACCAGCTATTGTAATCTGCCTCCCGGCCGCTTTAGCAGTTTGGATGTGCTCCCTGAAAGTTTATCAAAACTCCGGGGTGAAAAGAGGATTTTGTGTGCGGAGAGTGTGCAGGGCCAGTCAAGAAGCTTTATTTTTTATTTTTTTCACATTCAGAACACGAGTGATATTATCTGGGTTTGCATTTGCCCCCAGGGCGAAATCCATGCCCCGAATCAAATGCCAGGATCAACTTAAGGCAGCTAAATGCCGCTCCACTGCGAAGGGGAGCGCTTCATTACTCACTTCTTTCAGGGCAGGCTGAGAAGAAAGGACATGTGCATTATGCAGGGATAAGTTGGCCTGCGGTGAGTCACTGGATCGTGGCCCTCACAGATAATTCCCCAGGAAGAAAAGTGTGATATTTTTCTTTTCAAACACACTGAATATCCAGAACATAAAAAAAAAAAAATCAGTATACCCTTTTTTTCTCTGTAGAGGCTGATCTCTCAATAAATTAGATGAAGTGGGGAAAAAGGAGCTAAAAGGGAATTAAAACACCGGTCTGTAATAAAACATAATTTAGCAGCAGGGAGATTTTCACTCTTACATTTCTCTAAAGCTGCCAAACGTCTACCCTTTTTTAAATTTATCTAGACTTTCCAGAGGGAAAAGCTTTAGAAAGCGACATTGTCTGTTCGCCTTTTGACGGCACTGAGTCGCGCATGTCTTTCATAGATGTCTCACATATCCCAGGTGGCTCTTTTGAGCACTCCTTCCTTCCAAACACACTCTGAGCAGCGCATACCAGCGCATAAGAAGTGTTTACTCTTTTTGAATTGCATGCGCCTTCTTCCTCACATGTCGGAAGCTTTGGAGCTCTTTGCCTGAATAACAATCACTGGAATGCTACTATGTCTCACTCAAAAGTGTCTTTCTTGTCGCTGCCCGCCCCCTCCCTCTTCCCAAACACCACATTTTCTCACGCCAAACTAACATGGTCAAACTTCCCATCAGCTTCTCTTTTTTTCAGGCCTGTAAAATGAGCCCGTAAAACTCCACCGTTTCCTTCAGTTTGTCCGAATCTTTATGAAAAAAAAACGAAAGACTATGAGCGCACTCTGATCGCTTTTACTTGAATCTCACAGGTCCTTTTTGTGTGGTCCTCTTTCCTTTATATGTAGCGTAGTTTTATAGAAAGAAAAGCTGTGATAAAGCGCTGCTGTTTGTTAGCTTTACAGCTGGCCAACGGCTTCAAAGCACCTTTTGGTCCCGCTGAGGCCAGACGTCGGTCTCACCTCCTCGTGTTAGCCACATTACCAGCGCCAACACCTCAGCAAGCTGCACCAGAAATCAATCTGTCAGGGGGGCAGTTTGTCGGGATGGTCAGTGGAGCTGCTTAGCAGACTCTATTTGAGAAGTACATTGTTTATTTTCTTCTTTCATATATATACGTACATATGATCTGCGGTGGCGGTGATCAAGAGCCATCTCTGTACTTTCTCGGGAGCCTTTCTTCTTTTATTCTGTCTAGTTTGAGGCGGTTACTGTGTGTGTGTGTGTGTGTGTGTGTGTGTGTGTGGGTGGCGGAGGAGGAGTGTGAAGCAGGGCTGGTCAGTCCCAGCAGGAAGGACCTGATCTGGACATGGTTGTTAAGTTTCATTGGCTGAAGGGGGGGTCGCTTGGTTGCCTGCTATCTGTGGAGCTCATTATTCACATGGTGGGTGGCAGAGGATGAAAAAAAAAAAAACCCCACAGCAGAAAACCAGAGACGCACACGGCCCCGTGAGACGAGGCGAAGAGGCGGTGGAGCCGCCGTTTGAGACGTCGCCGGCAGCGAGCGCTTGTGTCCAACGCCGCTGCCTGCAAAGAAACACGCACGCCGTCTCGTACCAACCTGTGTTTCTATTGATCCCACGGAGCACAGGCCTTTTTTTTAATAGCTGCCATCTATTTTCTCCGATAATAAACCTTTCACAGATTCCACACGCAGTCGCTGTCAGAAGGGATTTCATTCCGCTGAAGGATTAATGTAATCAAAGCTGCTGCTAAATCCTCTTTTAGCAATAATGACCAGTCACACTGAGACAATCTGCCGTCATCCAAGTGTTTATTTGCTTTCCGCAGATGGTTTGGATGAATATCATAGATTACAGCATTCCCTTCCTGTGGATGTTGCTGTCTTTTCACTTCCAAGATTACATTTTCAGAGGTACCAAAGCAGGAAATAATTTAACAGCTTTATTTATGGTCTTATGTTAAGATACCGTTACAGAATACTCGTGCCAGCGGTCACATTGAAGGAGAGACGATTAGAATTTAAGATTCTTAAAGCTGATGTACTTAGTAGATGTGGATTTATCAATTTATTCCAGTTCCACTCAAAGCTGCTGCATCCCGCAGATAAATCCCACAGATTGAGACAGTTTCGGGACGGTGAACTAGAACGTCCCAGTGATTGACAGTCTCTTAACCTTTTGCCCTGCACGTCG